CTGAAAACTGAAAGAGGACCACATTTGGTGGAAAAAAATAATGAGTTACTGAGTTTCATCTTGGGCATGTTGGCCCTGAAGCATCCTTATTCTTCTGTATTTAGTACTAATAAAACCCTAAAAGCAGCATGAAAAGTCTATGGTAAGGGGGTATAGCTAAGTAAAGTATGTTCATAAATTTTCTAGAATATTATTCAGCCTTAAATATGTTGGGTACAAGACTATAAAGCATGTTAGATTAAGTGAAAAAAGTAGGATACCAAATCCAATTATCACCGAAAACAGAAAAAGTACTGAACGGAAATAGAGCAAACTTTACACAATGACTATTTGAGGATTGTGGATGAATTTTTTAAAATTTAAATTTTCCGTCTTGTAAAAATACCAATCTTAGAAATTAAAAATTGTAATATCAGGTTTGTTTCGTACATCATTGATTTATAATGGTTTAAATGGTTGCTTCTCTAAACTGACAATAGTAATTACTTCAGGTAAAATGAATTCTTTTTTAAATGTGACTTTCTAGTTAGTTCTAAAGTTGAGTGGAGGTGAATTCTTAGTTATACAACGTAAGCAATTTTTACAGCTGTGTTAATCAGTAGTCAGTGCTGATCATCTCTCCCATAGTTGTCTCTGCTAGCTTTTCCATCTGTCAGCTGTAAGCAATGCAGAAGCATTGAAAACATTTTCCTTCGCCGTAACACGCTAAAATTCTCATAAAATGTCCATAAACATTAAGTACATTTTGTGAGTGATGAATAATGTTAAAGAACTAGCTATGTGTTTTAATATATAAAATTAGACTTTGTGTAAATTGACTATACTTTTAATCATGGATTTTCTCTAAGATAATGTGCTAAGAAGATATCTAAACAACTCAACACCTGATATTTTGGTCGTACCTTAGGGAATTGTTTTAATAAATAAACGTTATTTAATTTTAATTTATGTACAATAAAATGCACCCATTTGTTTGTTTATTTTATTGAATTATTTTTGAGCCAGGTTCTCGTTCTGTTCCCCAGGCTGGAGTGCAGTGGCACAATCATGGCTCACTGCATCCTTGAGCTCTTGGGGTCAAGGGATCCTCCCACCTCAGCCTCCCAAGTAGCTAGGACTACCAGTGCATATCACCACACCCAGCTAATTTTTTATTGTTTTTTGTAGAGCTGAGGTATTGCTTTATTGCTCCTGCTTGTCTCAAACTCCTCACCTCAAAGCCATCCTGCCACCTCGGCCTCCCAAAGCATGAGGATACAGAAGCAAATGACTGTGCCAAGCCCATTTACTTATTTTAGTGACTTTTTACAACTGTATATACTCATGCAGCCACCACCACAATCAAGATATAAAACACTTCTGTCACTATAAAGTGTTTCCTGGTACTCAAGTTTCCTGGCCCCAAGCACCTAACCTCTCCTTTCTGTCACTAGCGATTAAGTTTGCTTTCTATAGAATATCATGTAACTGCAATTTTGCCATACGTACTTTTTTGTATCTGGCTTTTTTCACTTAGCATAATTTTTTTTTGAGATTTATCCATGTTGTTGCATGTATAGTCAGTCCTCTGTATTAGCATGTACCACATCCTTGGATACAGAGGGCAAAATGTAAGGTACTAAGCATCTTTGGATTTTGGTATCCATGGGGTATCCTAGATATCCCATCCTGGATGTCCTTCATAGCCAATCCCCTGTGGATACCAAGAAACTACTGTAAATTAGTAGTTTATTTCTTTTTATTGCTGAATAGTAATCCATTTATGAATCTATCATTTGTTTTCTCCATTCAGCAAGCAGTTGATGGACATTTTACTTGTTTTCAGTTTTTGGCTATTAAAACAAAAGCTGTCATAAACCTTCTGTATAAATCTATGCAAACATGTATTTTCAACTCTCATGGGTGAATACCCAAGAGTAGAATTGCTGGATCCTATAATAAGTGTATGTTTAACTTTTTTGGAAACTGCCAAACAGTTTTGTTTTGTGTTGTTCTGATTTGTTTGAGATGGAGTCTTGCTCTGTAACCCAGGCTGGAGTGCAGTGGCGTGGTCTCAGCTCACTGCAACCTCTGCTTCCCAGGTTCAAGCGATTCACCTGCCTCAGCCTCCCGAGTACCTGGGATTATAGGCATGCACCACCATGCCCAAGTAATTTTTGTGTTTTTAGTAGAGACGGGGTTTCGCCATGTTGGCCAGGCTGGTCTCAAACTCCTGACCTCAAGCAATCTGCTTGCCTCAGCCTCCCAAAGCGTGGGGATTACAGACATGAGCCATGACATCTGGCCTGCCGAACTGTTTTCTAATGTAGTTACAATGTTTTGCAATGCCACTAGCAATGTTGGAGCATTTTATTTGCTCCATATACTTGTCAGCTAAACGTCTTCTAATATGTTTTTTTGGCTATTCATGTATCTTTTTTTGTAAAGGATGTGTTCACATCTTTTGCTTATTTTTATGTTGTCCAGTTTGTGTTCTTACTGCATTATGAAAGTTGCTAAAATATATACTGGATACCAGTCCTCTACTGTAGATATGTATTGCAAATATTTTCTATCTGTAGTTTGCCTTTTTTAAAACTTCCTATTAGCTGTCTTTTCAAAGGCAAATTGTAAAAATTTTTATGAAGTTTAATTTATTCATTTTTTTTCTCCAGTTCATGCTTTCATGTCCTAAGAAACGTTTGCCTACTCCAAGGTTGCGAAGAAGGCATTTTCTTCTAATAGTTTTAATTATTTCAGCTTTTTAAAGTCTGTGATCCATTTCAAGCTAGTGTTTATTACTAGTTCAAGAGATAAGATGGAGGTTTTTGCTGTTTTTTGATTGAGTATCCTATGAGGCAAGATTGAAGTTTTTATTGCTTTTTGTTGTTTAAATATGGATATTCAGTTATTGCAGGACCATTTGTTACAAAAAATTATTTCTCCACCTTTATCAAAAACCAATTGTATGGATTTATTTCTGGACTCTATTCTTTCCTACTGATCTATATTTCTGTCCTTTTGCTAATTCCACATTACCTTCATGGCTGTAGCTTTATAGTAAGTCTTGAAATAAAATAGTAAGTCTTCCAACTGTGTTCTTTGTTCAAATTTCTTTGACTGTTGTATTAGTCCCTTCTCGCACTGCTCTAAAGAAATACTTGAGACTGGGTAATTTGTAAGGAAAACAGGTTTAATTGGCTGATGGTTCTGCAGGCTGTACAGGAATCATGACTGGGTTACAAAACTTACAATCATGGCCAAAGGCAAAGGGGAGGCAGGCACATCTCACATGGCAGGAGCAGGAGGAAGAGAAAGAGTAGGGAGGTGCTACACACTTTTAAGCAACCAGATCTCATGATAACTCACTATCATGAGAACAGCACCAAAGGGAAAATCCACCCCCATGAACCAATCACTTCCCACCAGGTCCCAGCTCCAACACCGGGGACTACAATTTGACATGAGATTTGGGCAGGGACACAGACCCAAACCATATTAACTGTATTCTATGACCTTGGATTTCTTTGTAAGTTTTAGAATTACCTTGTCAGTTTCTCCAAAAAGCTTACTGAGATTTTTATTGGGATTCCATTAAATCTACAAATCAATTTGAAGATTTGAGTCTTCTATCCCATGAACATGATATATCTCTCCATTTATTTAGGTCTTCTGTACTTTCAGAATGTTTTGTACTTTTCAATGTAGAACTAATTCTTATAAATATTTTATTAAATTTATCCAAAATATTTAATTGCAAGTGAGATTTCTAAAATTTCAGTTCCTATTATTTGTTACTATTACGTAGAAGTACAATTAATGTATTAGTATAGTATAATTAGTATAGTATTAATATAGTATAATTCTTTAAATACTATAAAGCCAAATCCAGGAATATGATATATATTAGTGTATAAAATATATTAATGCAATATAATTATAGAATAATTATAATTCTATATATTGTAGTAATGACAATATAATTATAATTATTATATTGCATCTCTATATAATTATATAACTACAATATAATTATATTGTATTATATATTTATATGATTATAATCTATCATGTATAATTATCATAATTTTGTTTTAAATGCCATAAAACCAAAGTCAGTAATATTACATAGCTAAGACCTTCCATACGATATTGATTAGAAGTAGTGAAAGTAAATATACCTCCATTTTTCCCAATCTCAGAAGAAAAGCATTGCATCTTACCATTACATATGATGATATCTATAGGTTTTTTGTAGATCCCATGTGTCAAGTTGAAGATGTAATATTACTGATTTGGTTTTACAGTATTTAAAACCAAATTGTACTAATTATATGTAATATAAATATATATTCTATTACTGGATTTGGTTTTATGATGTTTAAAGAATTATTTTCATATATTTTTGTGAGGTATATTAGTCTGTACCTTTCTGTTTCTGTGGTATCTTGGTCTAGTTTTGGTATTGGGGTAATACTGGCCTCATAAAATGAGTTTAGAAGTGTTTCATCCTTTCCTCTTTTCTGAAAGAGTACATGCAGGATTGGTATAATGACTTCCTAAAATTTGATAATGATGTGTAGTTTTGTAAAACTCTTTGATTTTGATGTTAGAGTAATAATGGGCCTATAAAGTAGGAATTGTTTCCTTTTCCTTTTTGCTGAGTTTAAGTACTGGTATTGTTTTTTCCTTAAAATGTTTAAATTTACTAGTGAAGTTCCCTATACCTGAAGTCTGTATATATGTGCAGGGGGTAATTTTGTGAATATCAAAGTGATATAGTAGTTGGAGAATGATGTCTGGAGCCAGAAAGTCTGTTAAAAGTACTTAGTTCTCATTGACTCTCTTTACAAGTCTTAGCTTATCTAACTGTGCCTCAGGAATAGGCAATTATTGTTCCACCTCATATAATTGTTTTAAGGGAAAAAAATATAAAAACATATGAATGTGCTTGCTATTTGATACCCATTTGATTCTTTTCTTGCTATATGTTTCTAACTGCAACTTTTCCTTCTTTACAGAGGAGGATAAATATAATATTTACTCACCTTTGCTCTTCAAGTGTTTCCTGGCAGAAGGAATTGTCAATGGGCATAGTTTGTTGGTTGCATCTGCTAAAGAGGATCCTGCCAACATTTTACAGGTATAGGATGTATGAACTTAATATTGCATTTTGAATGTTTCATGAAAAAATATTTTTATGTATGTAAACAAGATATATGTTTGTATATATACAAACTATATTTAAATGCACTAACGGGATTATACATTTTTTAAAATCTCAGTAAAAAGTATCAAATTTATTTGAACATAGAGTTATATTTTAAAGTAATTGTTCTTGAACAATTTTTTTAAACTTCATATGAGAGGTGGGGAAACATTAAGCTAATAAAAACTGACACTAAGTAAAATTACTGGACCAGGCATTCACAAAAGTCATGCTTAATAGCAAAAATTCTAGTTTACACTTCTTACTGAAGAAAGGGGAAAATATCCTTTAATTTTTTTGCTTCTAATTATAACATCTTCATTTTGACTACTACTATGGCAAAGCAAATTTTCCAAAGTCTAAGTTTTCTATACTGCTAACAAAGTATGGGTTAACTGTTGCGCTTAAGAAGCCTTTAAAAGAAACTTGAAATTCGAATTTTCGGCCTGAAACTATTATATAAAGTATAGGAAATCACTACTATACGAGTTAAAGCAAATAATGGAATAAAAACAAAAGGCACATCTATATAATCAGCAAATTGGCTGATAAGACATTTTAAATATTTTACATTTCTACTTAGCACAAGCAAAAATAAACTGATTCCAAGGCACTACAATATTTGCCATTTCTACTGCAAGCTTTAGGCAATTTTTTTTTCTTTTAATTTTGAAGAGATGAGGTCTCACTATGTTGCCAGGCTGGTCTTGAATTCCTGGCCTCAAGGGGTTCTCCTACCTGGGCCTCCCAAAGTTCTGGGCTTACAGGTATGAGCCACCACATCCAGCCTAGTGCAGGCTTTAATCATAGTTCATTCTAAATGTATCTAAGGAAATTAAAATGTTCATACATAAAAAAATTATTATATCTGATAGGTAATATTCTACACTGTCATGATAATAAGAGAACTCTGGAAAACATTACATGAAGCAAAACAATTGCAAATTGTTTGGTAGTTATATTACCAATATGCCAGAGGTATAAATCAGAAGAGTCAGATACTAGAAGTACACATTGATTAATATTAGTTTTCTTGGAGAATGCTACAAATGATTCTCTTCCATGATAAAATATGTCATTAATGTACCGAATCTTTAAGCCAAAGCACACTTTTTTCCTCAGAGAGGACACTTTGAACTTTTAGAATTCTTAGTTTCTTTGTCCATAACAGAATCCTAATTTAAGCCATTATTTGAATAGAGTTAATAATCTAAAGTCATTTTTCCATAGGATATTTTAATTTTAGTACATAGTTTGCAAAATGGCAAATTAGTCATTTATAAGGAATTTGTAACATAATAAATACTAATTCATAATACCTGTGAACAAATGCCAACAAACTTCTTTGCCTTAGTATAAAAGTTACAATAATGCTGAGGTCAAAACTAACATAATTCGTTCATATGATTCAGATTTTGCTTGTTAAACAATACTACTATAAAATCCAAAGCAGAAACCTGTATATAATTGATTTTCCTCTGGTTGTAGGGCTTATTTTTTTTTTTCAATCACTTTTTTAGTTGTTTACTTTTTACAGTATTTTTTGGTGTTTTCTTTTGCTCTTTTTCTTGCCTTTTATCATCTTGGCCAACTTCTGGACAGTGCTACACTTGCTAGGAGCAGTGGAGTAAAGGCCAAAACCATTGTTGTAAGTAAGCTATACAGGTTCTTCGTGGCATATTCCACAATATACTGAGACTAAGATTTTATATGAAACATCTATATAGCCATCATAGGAAAATTTTGCCAACCAGAAGCAGAAATACCTATATATGCTTTTTAAAATAAAGTGTTTTATTTTTATTTTTTCCTCTTTCAACCCAGGTAGCTGATGTTAAAAATTTTCAGTTTGCTTTAGAGAACACTTTAATTTCAAAACTAATCCCTGACATCTTTCTTAGGGGTGCCTTGAATTTGTACAAGTTAGTATTAAAAATCTCAGTGTACTTTACATATCCTTCTTTAGATGATGTGAGGGAGTTTGAAGCTGTAAAAGAAATATTACCTTTTTCATCAAGCTTTTATAAAATAGCCAGTCATTTATGGAAGTAATTGTGTGTTGCAAAGACTTAGTCATACAACAATTTTATGGTGTAGGAGAATAAAATATAAAACTATAGTTAAAAACAAAACAGACTCTTAAAAAGTACACCATGTCTGACCCAGTTGCATATGTCTGACCAAGATAGATTAATAAAGTCCAGATTTCTCCTCATGCCTGAAACAGCTGGAAAAAAAAAAAAGCAGCACAGAGTATAAGAAATAACAGTTTTCAAAACACTTGGCATCAGATAATAAAAGTGATTCCTAGATATACAAAACAAAGAAGGCAAACCCTATAACTTCCCTACCTTACTGAGTATAGTGTTTCCGAGCCACAGTGCAAAGAAGAGAAACACAAGATAAGATGACCTTCAGGCGGCACAGCTAGGAGCACAGCGAGGTCAAGGAAATTCTATTTATAAGTCAGAGTACCTGAATGGGAAGTACCTGAATACATCAAGTGAGTTAGAGATCTGCATAGGGTCTCCCTCTAGGCTTCAGTTGAGTGCTCACCTGTACATGTACAGGAGGAAATGGCCTGAGGCTAGAAAAGGAACTACCTGACAATATTAGAAGTAACAATCCCCAGGGCCAACAGTAATTCCTGCTCCCACGTGCCAGAGTGAAAAACTTCATGATTCATGAGATGTCAGGTGGGGTATTTAGAAGAGTTTTGCATTGGTAAAGAGCAAAGTTATCCCCAGTTTGTAAAACACTGCTCTGGTCCTGTCCAATGAGGCTTAAAAACAAGGTCTGAAGTAACCAGATGTTTTCAAGTAACTTAACTGTGTCCCAGTCCAAAGCTCAAAGTACAGTAATATTAAAGTGTCCAGCACTCAACAGGATAAAATATTCTGTGTCTGGTTTCCAATTAAAACATAGTAGACATGCAAAAAATGAGAAAATATAATTTTAATAAGGAGAAAAGTCAAAGCAAAAAAGAAATGTCATGATAGAATTAGCAGATGAAAACATAAGTTTTATTATAAGTATATTCTAAATATTCAATAAGCTAGAAGGAAGATTAAACATGTTAAATGGAAACATGGAAGATGTAAATATAAACACATGTTAAACTTCTAGAGATGAAAACTACAGTGACTGCAATGAAAAATACACTTGAGGTGCAAAGTGGATTAGACACTGAAAAAGAAAAGGCTAGTAAATTTGAAGACATGGCATTTAAAATTATACAAGATGAAACCTGCAAAATAGACTGGGGAAAGAAAAGGATGTTTGCATTAGTGAGCTATAAGATAACTTAAGGGTCTCTAACACGTGATTGGACTCTGTGAAGGGAGAAGGAGTGGTACAGAACAAATATTTGAGGAAATAAGGAATGAAAGTATTCCAGAAATAATGAAAAATATACCACAATTCTAAGGTGTCTGGCAAACGCCAAGTTTTAAAAGTCCTGAAGAAAACAACATCAATGCACATCATAACCAAATTTCTTGAAACAAGTGATAAAGAGAAAAATCTTGAAAGTGACCAGAGATAAAAGCACATTACATAGAACCAAAGATAAGAATGACAGCCGACTTTTAGTTTTAGGCAATACAAACCAGAAAACAAGGAGGAAGTCTTTAAAATGCTAAAAAATAAAAATAAAAACATGCTATCAATTCAGAATTCTATACTCAGCAAACATCTTTCATAAACAAAGATTTTGCAATTTTAAAAGGTTGTTTTTTATGAAAGCAAAATAAAGACTTTCTCAAATGCTAAAATCCAAAAGAAGTCACAACCACCAGACTTGCATTGTAAGAAATACTAAATAAAGTTTTTCACAAAAAAAATCAAAATAATACCAAATGAATATTTGGATCTAAACAAAGATATCAGAAGGACTGGAAATAAGTAAATATATAATACTTTTATTTAAGTGAATATAAAATATTTTTTTCTCATTTTGTAAAGATAAAGTCATTAATGGTAAGGAGGAGAGAATAAAGGAAAAATGCAGAATTTGGAGCATGATGGATATATTTTTTGTCTTGATTATATTATTGGCTTCCAAAGTATATGTGAAGGGACTTCAAAAAGTTTGTGTAAAAATGGAATTAAAACATAAAACTGTAAACATTATTTCAAAACATAAGCTCCATCAAGTTCAAGACACTTTTGTGAGTGAGGATACCAGCCATTTAGTCGATTCTTAAAGAACTGAGGGTCCTGGGAATTTAACCATGTCAGTAGTCTTTTTTACTTTAACTGAAGAAAAATGGTGACATTTACAGATATTTTTTTAAGATTGGGAAATAAAAAGAAGTTGGAAGGAGCCAAATCAGTACTGTAAGATGGACACATAATGATTTCCCATCGAAACTCTTGCAAAAATACCCTTGTTAGATGAGAGGCATAAGCAGGAGCTTGTCATGGTGGAAAATGACTCACTGGTGAAGATTTCCCAGACATTTTTTCTGCCAAATCTTTGGATATATTTCTCAAAACAGTCATAATAAGCAGATGTTGTTCTTTGGCCCTCCAAAAAGTCAACAAACAAAATGCCTTCAGCATCCCAAAAAGTTGTTGTCATGACCTTTGCTCTTGACTTGTCCCCTTGTGCTTTCACTTATCACTTCAACTTCTTGCTAGCCATTGCTTTGACTGTGCTTTTTCTTCAGGATCATACTGGTAAAACCATGTTGCATTGCCTGTCATAATTTGTTGAAAATGCTTCAGGATCATGATCGCACTTGTTTAAAATTTCCATTGAAAGCTCTGCTCTTTGCAGCTGATTTTGGCATAACAGTTTTGGCACCCATAGAGTGGAAAGTTTGCTCAACTTTAATTTTTTAGTCAGAATTGTGTCAGCTGAACCAATTGAAACGTCTGTGGTATTGGCTATTGTTCTGCTGTTAATCATTAGTCCTCTTCAATTAGGGCAT